TTCTGCGCGCCTACGCGCTGAGCTTTACCAATGTCGCAAGGCCTGGCCCAGAAATCGACCATCGATTTGGGTGCGGCTTTTCTTGGCAGCCGAATCGGTGCACTCCAAACGGGGCGTTTGTACCCAGTCCATTTCAACCCCACAGGGTAACCTGCACGAAGTTGAAAGGGACCTGTGCGGGGGGCCCGAAATAGGCCGAGATCCGAGATCGCTTTGCCTCAGGATAGGCGAGCTCATGGTTAATAGGAACTTGGATTTCCAGACCTCCTGTGGATGTCCGGGGAGAGAAAAACATGACACACCTTTGTTTGGTTGATTTCGTGGAAAAGCACTGTTTCTGTGATACCAATCGTCCTTCCCATGGCTGCATTTCTGGGGCATTCCCTTGGCCACTCGCAAAAAGATGCAACCTGAAACATTTGTTGGTGAAGGAAAACCAAACCTGGGGTAGACTTAGCAATTAGGTTACATCTGACATTTCAGTGACTCCAAGGGAAGCAAACAATAGCATATACATTCCTTTTCAACTGGGCCTAAGGCGAATCATTTGCACGGAAGCCAAGCACGTTTCATCAGAGACCCAGCCAGTCGGCCAGGTTCGGCACCAGCTCGTGTGTGGCCGTGTCGCTGACCTTCACCATCATCGGCCCAGCTCTCGATGCGTCGATGGAGACGCCGTGCTCGAGTCGGGGTGTTTGCTTGTCACTTTGCCTAGGTTCCCCAGCAAGGTGCCCAGTCTTACCCGTTTCTTTTTTGGTTGGGAGGGTTCCCCTATTAAAAATAGACCACAGAAAAAAGGAAACGGTACCCGGATTCTAACCTCTCTACTGGAGGACCTAGTTGTGAAAATCCGGGCGGAACGGTTGGGATGGAAGCTGTAGACATGGGATGAGCCAACGGCGGAACGGTTGGGATGGAAGCTGTAGACATGGGATGAGCCAACTGGTTGATGGAGGATGCTGGAAAATTGACCAACCGTACTGAACTGCACCGTGATAGTAAAACGCATTCCCCTACCAGCACCCCCCAACCACTACTTTTTGGAGAGCACTTGGGAGTTTGGGCAGGGGGACAGCAGTTGGTGGCTGGGGCTGGTACTTGCGAATTCTTTAGGGCATCCGTAGCGGGATAACATGACCCGTGGCAATTTGTGCATGGCCAATGGTTGCTAGCTGCGAGTACCCATTGTTTGGCGGATTTCAATAGAAAGCACAACTTTCGGGACCCCCTACCAAAAAAGACACATGTGGATGTTCCTCCATGGCCCAGATCTCTCTTGTCCCAAAAGGCGCTGGTGGTGCTCGGGGGCGGGCCTCATGGGCGCCCTGTTGGTTTTTCACCTTGGACAACTGAACAGAACAACAAGCCTTTGGGTAACCGAGGCATGCGTCAGAGTTTCAGACGCGGCACTCCCTGTATGGGCGGAGGGCAACAAGACACCACCTCGCAGGTGTGGCCGCTTTATCCTCAATCATTGGCTTGGGTAGACCCCTTTCCATACCAGAGTTTGATCTGGACACAGGCATTGCTCCCCTCAAATATTGTGTTTGCGAGGAATCTCCTTTTGACGCGCCCTTTTCGTGGGTTCTTCCGTGAACAAGCAGGGGAGTGCAGTAGGGTGTTCCCTTGCGTAAGTCAAGGGGATCCGGGATGACCAAACCAGCAGGGGGAAGTTGTGCCCCCATGCCATCTCTCAGCTGAACCAATCTGTTCGCAGCTTTTTCCTCGGGGCTCCCCGAGGTGCCGCGTTCTTGCCCTATCTCATCCGCAAGCCCTGCCTGTACCTGGCCCTGGCCAGGGGCTCCGGACCACCCGGGGAACTGCGTTCTCAATGGCCAAAATTTGAATGTCCTGTCCAAAAAAGCAGTTGTTGGGGGCTGCTGTAAACACATTGTAAGGGCTATTGGTGAAGAGGCATCCTTGTACTTTTCTGAGTTGGCGAGTGGGTTCTTTCCTAATTTTGCTGGGTGGCATGGTCCCACGTGCCCTATTGGGCACCGCTTGGTTTCCTCTTGTTTGCCCCTTTTGGAGGAATATAGAACATAGTAGTATGAGTAGTCGTGTTTTACATCGAGAAACAACTGCAAAGTACACCCCCAGCTTTTGACGCTCTTTGTTTCTTTGGCCGGGAAAGGGGGGGGGGGTGGCGGGTGAGGGGTCACAAACTTCCAGGCCAGCCTCGTCAGCAAAACGGGGTTGGGCGATGCGATTGTGAAACCTATGTTTGCTGTCAGCCCGCTTTGCGAACCTGCTTCCATCTGCTCCAAGCATTCTCTCGGGTTGCCTGGTTTTCAATTGAAAACGATCATTACTGGTAAATTGGCAAATATCGACAATATGGATGCGTCTTCAAATGGGAACCCCGGAACTGCACGTGGGGACTGGATATTTTTCTTTGGTTTTCCCAACACAACGCCGCAAAACACCCCTGCAAAAGACACCCAGCAAGGATCCCCAAAAAACCCCAATCTCGGGGACAAATTGCAAAGCGTTGGGGTAGAGCCGAGGGTGGTACCCCGTTTTGGCGTACATGACGTTGGCCCTTGACATGGCCCGAGGAAAGCTGGGTTTTAGCTTGCCACTTTGTGTGATACCAATAAAACCCCTTTCTAAATCATAAAGTAGCCATTCGGTTGATGGACGAATCCTGCACCAGTTAATAGGTGGTTTGTCCCAGTACATTCAGAGGGTTACATCCATGAGTAGGGATGGCCCACTTTTGTGCGGGTGCTATTTCGAAACATGACCCTTGATGGTATATAATTGAGTCAACTCGACTGAGGCGGTGCTTGTGCTACTTCTGCCGCTGCTCGAGCACTGAGCGGCGAAAAAAATGATTTGAGCCACAAAGGTCCTATACAGGGAGGTCCCATCTTTCCGTGGGAAGTATAGCAAAGCGGGTGTTTCTCAAAATAGTATCCCCGAACAAGATTGGCTCCCTGCAGAAGTAGCCACCAAAGTATGGGGAGATTCAAGTAGAGAGTGGTTCTGTTGGTTTTTTTCCGGAGTGATCAACGTGGAGGATGATGGGACCCTATCATCAATCAACTTGGGGTTGTTCCCAAATGTTTGTCCCTGCTTCGCTTGGGACCCGGACTTTGGAGACGGAAGTTCGGGCCGTGCAAAGTGCTTCTCCTGGCAGTGGGGGCCCGCCACGAACCACACCCACAAAGCTTTTTTTGTCTCGTGTTTCCCTGGGTATGGCGCCAATTGGGGCAGGGGGAAGTCGGAAGGGGGAAGGGTACGTTCCCTCTCTCCTACAATCATGGAAGCTGAGCTGTCGTGTTTTGGACGACTACCTTGAAATGCTCAGATTGCAGCTTCAAAACAACGCCAGGATGGTTGGAAAGAGGATGGACGGCCTTCGCGAATTCAGTTTGAGGGATCCCACAGCCAGTTTTCTCCTCGACCTCAGTGGAATTTGCGACCTCACCCATTCGTTGCAAAGGAAGCAGTCATGTTGGATCGGTGAGTTATGATAATTTGAGTAGAGCCATGTTCAATTGAGCCACATTGCAAACCTGGGGTCTCCTCGTATTTACTTTGCTTTTGTTGTTATACGTTTAACAAAAATATGCATATGAGGTTGACCATATACGAAACAGACACCACAAACGTATGTACTGTGTTTGCCGTGACTTGGATGGGCCAAAAGACCAGGGTAGAAAATAAGTTGGGGGGGGTCCTAAATGCATGAGGAAGAAACATTTTGCTTGTTACTCTTGCTTTAGGGTAGTACAAGCCTTGAATACCATTGTTGGAGATTGTGGTGTATGAGATGAGCAACACGGTGGTTTCGATAAGGTCTCAACATGACCCTGAATTTTGGGCAGGAAGGTCTTTGGGATCTTAGGATATGGGAGCCGGATAAAGGTGTTGTTTTTGGGCTCCAGTTTATTTGTGTTGCTTGGCAACGGGCTCCAGAACAGGCTTGTCCTTTGAGGACTACTGGAAAACGTGGTTGCCTCCAAACACCAACATGTGTTTTTTTCCCGGACAAGGTTGGCAAGGGAGGCCCTCGATGATGTATGATCTGGAGGCTGCAATTCTCACCAGATTTCACAACCTGAATCCAGGCCAGCTTTTCCGTTTTGAATACCAAGCTTTTCCCCGAAGCCGCGGGGGTGGTTTGCGTGTGGCCCGCCCCTCTCCCAGAATCCGTCCACGTGAGGTATCTGTCTCATTAGGATCTGGTCCAAGTTTGGATCTTGTGGACGTTCATTCAAGAATTGCTGTTCTTAATATCTTGACAACTGAGTCGTACATGCCATTTTTGGGCCGGCTAGCTTTCGTCCACCCTCTCAAGTTTGTTAGGTCCTCGAGTTGCCCTTGCTAGGACCCTTGCAACCCGTTTCGGTTCCGCAATCCGAGGCCGCATTCCGGGGGGGGGACAAGAGAAAAGGGCCGGCAAATTTTGACAAGCCTAGTTGTTGCCACTACGTAGGGGTGTCTTAAAGCAAGGGCCCCCGTTTTGAATGGTTACTTGCGGTAACAAAAACCACTTCCGCTTGTCTCCTCCAGCCACTGAATCAATCTGGAGCGCGCCGCCAAGCTCCGAACCGAATGTTCGTTGGGCTCAAGGGCAAGTGCCAAGATGTGCCCCAAAGGCAGGTCTTTGTAAATGGCTTTGAACATGCAACCCGCAGAAAGCTGACCAAAGGCCAGAATTTGGATCCCCAGTTGTTGGAGACACCCAGGTGCGTGGTACTTATGAACTCGATTCTGGAAAGTGCACGGGGGCAGAAAAGCCTGGCTGCGCATGCTGCAGTTTTGAGCCAGTGGCAAGGCCCGGCGTTCCCTTGCACACAAACGTGGACAAGGAACCCAAACAGCAACATGTTGAAGGGAAGCTTGTTTTGTCTTCGAAAAAAGCTTCCTATCATTCAGATGCTGTCCCTTATTCTTGGGATGAATGAAAAAGCCGGTAGATTCCTGACAACTTCCCAGTGTCGGTGGTCCGAAATCGGGGTGTCTCGCGCAGCCATTGTTTGCGGGTCGCAATGGCGGCTGTTGAGGACTTTGCAAGCAGTTTGTGTCACCACTTCCAAACCCAACTAGAAATGATTGCAGTTGCCAAGTCCGACATAAAAGAGTTTGTGTGGCTCTGTGTTCTAATGCATCCATTCATTAAAAGAGCACCCTAAAGAGTTGACTTCCAGGTGTGGCAGACATCAGCGTGTGTTGCTTACATGCCGAATGGCTGGGACGACGGTATGTATATATAATATTAGATGTATAATATGCTAGCATTTATGCACGTGTTTGTGTATATACAATATAAAGCTATACATATATCTACATTTATGAAAAATACCCAGACATATACACACATACAGAGGTTGGATGCTCTAAATATTGCCACGGTTTGTGGTAGGTGTACTCTTGCATCTGTTTTGGGCATCCAGTTAATCGGGGCAGCCTTGACCCAGAAAGCCGGACCCACCTGACATTGTCCCCAATGGGGACGATGACTTAGAGAACCCCGCTGATAAGGACCTAAAATAAGCTGAATATTCGGCTTCCCCGAGTTATCAACCCCATGATTGGGGGCAATACTGTGGATGGGCGAAATCCTGCACCACTTTGAACCCATGGAGCAAAAAACATGTTGATTGGTATTTCGAGGGAACTAATCGTTCCAGGAAAGCGCGGGAGGTGCGAAATGGATTTCGTCCATCCGCAAGGGTCCGACTTTCCGGCTCCAGCGTGGGGCGTCCAGGAGCCGGACCTCTTGGAGTCCTTCAGCAACCTCAAAGCCCTGGCGCAGGGCGAGATCGATGAGCCCGGCGGCCCTTTGCGCTTTGCAGGTGCCTTTTTAAGGGAGCACCTGTTTATTTGGGGTGGTTGTTAAGAAGGGACGCCAAAGGAAACAGCATTTCGGGATCCCCTATTTTGGCTGTTGGACCGTCCGGAGGTATACGAGTTATATAGTATACCACTGATTGTCTACAAAAGGTATACTGCGTTGCAAGCTTATATCGGTGGTAGAAAGACATCCATGCATCCAAAACCCATATCTGGAAATGGCGATGACAATGGGGCTCGGATGTTATTTTGAGCCCCCGGTCGACAGCCCGAGGCCAATTCAAGCCGCTTTCCTGCTCGGTGGAAGCGGACACCTTTTGCTCTCAGGGTCTAAGTACCTTCTAAGGACCTTCTAAGGACCCAACAAACCATCCGCAGAGAGCACTTGGACCCTTAGGAGTTATCAAGCAGATGGTACTTGATGTTGAGTCGACCTCCTCTTGGTTGACCGCTGAGGGTAGTGTCGTGCGGCAGGCCACCCGAGATTTTCCATTTTGCTTGATGACACCTTTGACTGGGGTGAAGGAGAAATATAGGGAAGCCTTTGTGAGTTTCCATCTTGCTTGGTTGGCTCTTGAAGCTGTGAATCATTGGGTCCCCGTATCAGTTTGATGGGCAAAAATACCGCCTTCAGCACGCAGCCAAGTCAGCTCAGTGTGGTAACTCGAGGAGGGCAACCCAGACACCCAGTGCCGCCATTTTCGTTCTTTTTGTTCAAAGGGTTTCAACTCAAGTACCAAAAGGAAGGACGACCTTTTCATCCAGCCTGCATCCAGCCAGACGTTGCGACTGTTCCTCAGTTCAGAGTTGGAGAGGCAGCAGTTGCGACGAGATGCTGACATCACAGCCCAGGCTGCGAGTGGTAGGATGTACAAAAGCGGATGCTCTGAAGCTTGGATGTGCAGTCTCGTAGACAGCGTTCCACAGTCACCCGCATCCGTTTGATGGGCGCAGGTTCATCAACCGGGATCTGGCCGATTGGAACGCTCCCATCCCATTGGGATGCCCATTGAAGATGCTGGACGTGGCGGGGTTGTTGGGGGCTTTTGGAAATGGCCGACTCATGGCATGTGTGCGAAGGTACCAAACATAAGAGGGATTCCTCTTGGGAGTCCTCGTCAGGTGCGATGTTATAGAGGGGAGGCCTACGGGTAGGTTTGAGCATGGTTTGAGCTTGGCCGCCGCTGTTTGGCTATGAAATCCATATGGAGTGTACGCCGAGTGAACTGCATGGAGGTTTGTGAGCCATTCATGAGCAAACAAAACTTGATCAATAGCAATGACCTTGGGGCTTTGGGCGGTGCAGAGCTGACCGAGGTCTGCCGACATCCCCCGGCTGCCGCCCAACACCAGCACGGGACACGCCGCGCATCGAAAGTTGGGAGCCAATGTTTTTGTTATGCGGACAGCTACCACAGTTGTTGCCAGCATTGTCAACAAAGATAAATAAATCTGTCCTCCCACTGCTTGCGGAAACTGATCTGTTGACCCCCCTCTTTTGTGGAGTTGAACATGGGCAGGTTATGTTGGCAAAAACAAAGTCTGAACCTTTTATGTAGGTTCCCTGCACCAAGCTCCAACTTGTAGGACCCTTGGATGGCCATGCCATGGTCCCCAAAGGAGAAGCAACATGGTGCTGATGTAGAGCTGGCTCCAACATGAATCCGGTTGTTTGTTATAGGTTCGTATTGATCATTCTTTGAGTCCAGCAAAGAGTTCGCTTTGCGCAGGCAATGGACTTTCCGAGCTCATAGACCAACAAACACTAGCTAGAGAAAACTCGTCTTGTTGAGCTTCCTGAGAAAAGTTTCGCGTTCTGCCTACACGCAGCTTTCCGAGCTTCGGTACACCGAACCTGGCTCGCCCAAAAATTAGCTTAATTTGTTTCAGGCTCGTAGCTTCCCGAGCTCCATCCAGGACACATGAACCAGCTGAATAGGGGGGTCACTGTGCTCTTGTGGGATTCCTTCATTTTTGTGTGCCTCACTCTGACTGTGGACCTGCCGGACCTCGGGGCGCGTGGCGCCGAACCTACAAACCCTCTACCGGCTTTGTAGTTACCCCCCAAGAGGATGGTTTGCTTGTAGGCTTCCGGGGCACCCTCAGGAGAAACATGCCCCAGTTGTTGTTTAATTTCGATTGTTCATCCCCGCCAGCAGAAATTGACAGCTTCAGCTTGGCATGCTCACCAGGAGTGTTGGGAAACGGCCTGACGTACTTTGTCTTGAAGCGACTCAGCTTGAATATGCACGTGCAGCCATCACCAGTCTCCATATGTCCGATAAATTTCTCTCATTCGGTGGTTACACAACCCTTTTTTGCCAGTTTAACGCATGTTGTTCTTTTCGGGTGATGTTTCAAGGGTATCCTTTGGGCTGGTTTTAAACCAAAAGGATAGCCACTGGTCTAACTCCCTGTTTTAACATACCCATCTGGACTCGGGCATTCCTTCAAGGACTGCTAGCGATGGATTCCCTTTGGTTGCAGCTTGTTTTGTTGCTACAACCAGGCCCTCGCCTAGCGAAGGGACCCCTTTTGGGTGGTTTAACAATGAATGGTCTGAGAATCATCAGGGGCAAGTAATTTATATATGGGGGATGACAGGGAGACCAGCAAGGGGCAGAAGTGTTATTTTCTCGTGAAGGTCGCCCCAGGGCGCTCTTCTCCCCCCCCCTTTCCCATGAACCCCTTCCCCCAGCAAAATAAGGCAGTTGACCGAGTTTTCTGGCGCCTGACAAGTTCCATGTCGTAAGGGTGTCTAAAAGATTCCATTGGTGGTCAGTGTCTCCCTACCCCTACCAGAATCCACGTGTTTGTGGAACAGTTGCACGCCCAGAAAGAATTACAAAGCCCATCAAATGAGGTAACGTCGTTCTCACTACACACAGGCCAAGCAGGCAAGGTTACCTGGCAACGGGCTTCCCCCACATGAGTCCCATTTGGCGGCGTGGATGTACGCAAAAGGATTACAGCTGCCGCCAGGTTTTGCTTTGATTCTATGTGAATCGGCACAACCCCTGGAGTTTCCATCTTTCGCAGGTTCCATATTGATTTCATTTGGGGCTGAGAACCCTGGGGGACCAACACGTTTGTTTTTTTTGGGGGGTTAGACCAAATACGAAACAGAATCAGAGCATACCATACTTTGTGTATCCCGTTTGCAGACAATCCTGAATTGGTGGTTTGGATTGGCGGTTTGGGGATTTGAAGCCCTGCTTCTTGCACAAAAACCACTTCGAACCTCAGAACCACCATTCTAACAGGAAAGCTGAACTATGAAACAGAATCATAACATATTATTTTCGTACCCCAGCCAAGATCCAGCTTCTCTGCCCTACCTACCATGGTGATGTCATTTGCTATGAATTTCAATATGGCCAATAGGAAGGGAACCACCTTACAAGTGGTTGGTGGACATGACTCCCCGCCTAAGTGATGCCCACCAGAGGGTCCCCAGTGAGTTTCTCTGAGGAACAAGGAGCCCAAGCAGCGCGCTGAGCTCTTCTTGGCCTTGGGCTTCGGGTCTTTGGTGGAGGAGGAGCACGAGCGGGGCATTGCCCACATCATAGAGCACTTGGGGCGCCTCGTTTTGGAGTAGACGTGGTTTGCAGTAGACTTCCCAACAGACTTCCCAATAGACTTCCCAGCAGATGTTGGGAATCTATCACTACTGCAGGGACACATGTTCTCACTATTTTTGGCAGGACGCGTTTAATGGCAGTCGCAGGGTTCGTTGGGCTCTCGACTGGAGTTTGGATTGGTTGTGACATGTTGCCCCCCGGAAAGTTGAACCCTCTCTATAGTAGTCAACCAGGGATTTAGTTAGCATTCTCCCACCAAAGGTTCATTTGCCGCGATTTATCGGTTTGGAAAGCTCCGATCCGGAGGCAAGCTGAGCGAAAGCCCATGATGTAGCTGCTTCACTCCGATTCAATCACTGTTTCAGGTTGTGGGATTATTGTGGAATTTGCAGGTGAGTGTATTTTCGTGCTTGCCGTGTTTCAGCTACTGTTCATATTCACATGACTGTAGTCAAGAGAATGCCATTGGGTGCACTCACCCAAATAAAAGTTACTCTCACCACGGCTTATACATGAGCCGCGAATAAAAGGCCGCTTCGGGCAAGGATGGCGGATTCCGTCTTTAACATCTTGTTGTGTGTTCCACTTAGTTTAATGCTTGGCCGGTGGCGCAAATTTGTTTTTGTTCGGTGGCACCCATTAAACTTTAGAGCCTCCGGCTCAGTCCGCCGACATTGTCCTCTCCCTTTTCTCCTTCTTCCTCTCTTCCTTGTCTCCCTTGTGTGTTCTGTCGTCCTCTCTCCCTCCCTTTGCTCCCATCCTCCCCATCCCCCCAAGCCTCTCTCTCCCCACTCTCCCTCTCTCGTATGTATGCATGCATGTACATATGTATGTATGTATGTATGTATGTATGTATGTATGTATGTATGTATGTATGTATGTATGTATGTATGTATGTATGTATGTATGTATGTATGTATGTATGTATGTATGTATGTATGTATGTATGTATGTATGTATGTATGTATGTATGTATGTATGTATGTATGTATGTATGTATGTATGTATGTATGTATGTATGTATGTATGTATGTATGTATGTATGTATGTATGTATGTATGTATGTATGTATGTATGTATGTATGTATGTATGTATGTATGTATGTATGTATGTATGTATGTATGTATGTATGTATGTATGTATGTATGTATGTATGTATGTATGTATGTATGTATGTATGTATGTATGTATGTATGTATGTATGTATGTATGTATGTATGTATGTATGTATGTATGTATGTAATGTATGTATGTATGTATGTAATGTAATGTATGTAATGTAATGTAATGTAATGTAATGTAATGTAATGTAATGTAATGTAATGTAATGTAATGTAATGTAATGTGTAATGTAATGTGTATGTATGTATGTATGTATGTATGTAATGTATGTATGTATGTATGTATGTATGTATGTATGTATGTATGTATGTATGTATGTATGTATGTATGTAATGTATGTATGTATGTATGTATGTATGTATGTATGTATGTATGTATGTATGTATGTATGTATGTATGTATGTATGTAATGTATGTATGTATGTATGTATGTATGTATGTATGTATGTAATGTATGTATGTATGTATGTATGTATGTATGTATGTATGTATGTATGTATGTATGTATGTATGTATGTATGTATGTATGTATGTATGTATGTATGTATGTATGTATGTATGTATGTATGTATGTATGTATGTATGTATGTATGTATGTATGTATGTATGTATGTATGTATGTATGTATGTATGTATGTATGTATGTATGTATGTATGTATGTATGTATGTATGTATGTATGTATGTATGTATGTATGTATGTATGTATGTATGTATGTATGTATGTATGTATGTATGTATGTATGTATGTATGTATGTATGTATGTATGTATGTATGTATGTATGTATGTATGTATGTATGTATGTATGTATGTATGTATGTATGTATGTATGTATGTATGTATGTATGTATGTATGTATGTATGTATGTATGTATGTATGTATGTATGTATGTATGTATGTATGTATGTATGTATGTATGTATGTATGTATGTATGTATGTATGTATGTATGTATGTATGTATGTATGTATGTATGTATGTATGTATGTATGTATGTATGTATGTATGTATGTATGTATGTATGTATGTATGTATGTATGTATGTATGTATGTATGTATGTATGTATGTATGTATGTATGTATGTATGTATGTATGTATGTATGTATGTATGTATGTATGTATGTATGTATGTATGTATGTATGTATGTATGTATGTATGTATGTATGTATGTATGTATGTATGTATGTATGTATGTATGTATGTATGTATGTATGTAATGTATGTATGTATGTATGTATGTATGTATGTATGTATGTATGTATGTATGTATGTATGTATGTATGTATGTATGTATGTATGTATGTATGTATGTATGTATGTATGTATGTATGTATGTATGTATGTATGTATGTATGTATGTATGTATGTATGTATGTATGTATGTATGTATGTATGTATGTATGTATGTATGTATGTATGTATGTATGTATGTATGTATGTAATGTATGTATGTATGTATGTATGTAATGTATGTATGTATGTATGTATGTAATGTAATGTATGTATGTATGTATGTATGTATGTATGTATGTATGTATGTATGTATGTATGTATGTATGTAATGTATGTGTATGTATGTATGTATGTATGTATGTATGTATGTATGTATGTATGTATGTATGTATGTATGTATGTAATGTATGTATGTATGTATGTATGTATGTATGTATGTATGTATGTATGTATGTATGTATGTAATGTATGTAATGTATGTATGTATGTATGTATGTATGTATGTATGTATGTATGCATGTATGTATGTATGTATGTATGTATGTATGTATGTATGTATGTATGTATGTATGTATGTATGTATGTATGTATGTATGTATGTATGTATGTATGTATGTATGTATGTATGTATGTATGTATGTATGTATGTATGTATGTATGTATGTATGTATGTATGTATGTATGTATGTAATGTATGTATGTATGTATATGTATGTATGTATGTATGTATGTATGTATGTATGTATGTATGTATGTATGTATGTATGTATGTATGTATGTATGTATGTATGTATGTATGTATGTATGTATGTATGTATGTATGTATGTATGTATGTATGTATGTATGTAATGTAATGTAATGTATGTAATGTATGTATGTATGTATGTATGTATGTATGTATGTATGTATGTATGTATGTATGTATGTATGTATGTATGTATGTATGTATGTATGTATGTATGTATGTATGTATGTATGTATGTATGTATGTATGTATGTATGTATGTATGTATGTATGTATGTATGTATGTATGTATGTATGTATGTATGTATGTATGTATGTATGTATGTATGTATGTATGTATGTATGTATGTATGTATGTATGTATGTATGTATGTATGTATGTATGTATATGTATGTATGTATGTATGTATGTATGTATGTATGTATGTATGTATGTATGTATGTATGTATGTATGTATGTATGTATGTATGTATGTATGTATGTATGTATGTATGTATGTATGTATGTATGTATGTAATGTATGTATGTATGTATGTATGTATGTATGTATGTATGTATGTATGTATGTATGTATGTATGTATGTATGTATGTATGTAATGTATGTATGTATGTATGTATGTATGTATGTATGTATGTATGTATGTATGTATGTATGTATGTATGTATGTATGTATGTATGTATGTATGTATGTATGTATGTATGTATGTATGTATGTATGTATGTATGTATGTATGTATGTATGTAATGTATGTATGTATGTATGTATGTATGTATGTATGTATGTATGTATGTATGTATGTATGTATGTATGTATGTATGTATGTATGTATGTATGTATGTATGTATGTATGTATGTATGTATGTATGTATGTATGTATGCATGCATGCATGTATGTAATATATGTATGTATGTATGTATGTATGTATGTATGTATGTATGTATGTATGTATGTATGTATGTATGTATGTATGTATGTATGTATGTATGTATGTATGTATGTATGTATGTATGTATGTATGTATGTATGTATGTATGTATGCATGTAATGTAATGTAATGTAATGTAATGTATGTATGTATGTATATGTAATGTATGTAATGTAATGTAATGTAATGTAATGTAATGTAATGTAATGTATGTATGTATGTATGTATGTATGTATGTATGTATCCTTGCACTTCCCCTTTGCTCCCCAGTATTTCCCGCAAAAAAAACACGGTTTTTCCAGCGTTTTCGCAAAGAGGACGTCCAAAAACATTGAGTTTTTCCAGATTTTCGGCAAAAGGATGCAGGAAGCCCAAGCCAGCAAAAAAGCCGGCAGGGGGAATCGAGCCTGGGACCCCTGTTTTGCGACACCGGCTCCCCGAAGACTACGTTTAGTGGAACGTCATCAAATTGCCGCGCGGTACGTGGGGGACCCCCCCCCCAAAAAAAACCTACGTAATAGACGTCGGGCGGGGGGGGTTAGGGGGGGGGTTATCCTCTATCCTCTAGTAAGTATCCGACACGCCGAGCAATGTCGGCGGATTAAACTCCTTTCACTTGTACCGACTAAGAGCTTTGCCACCTGGGAAGACAATTGAGGTGGAGAGCGGAGATGATTCCCCAAAGAGGCTCCTCTTTTTGGGAGCTGAGAAGGATCAGGAAACCCTGGTCAGCTTGAGGGGTGCGGCCCTTTCGGGTTCTTGAAGCATGGCTCAAACGGAAATCTGATGACATTGACAGTTGTAATTATGAATAACACTATCAAACATGTGAAGGTTGCACGCACTCAGATGCACAAATTGTATTTGGTAACACGTCGTAAGTACCTTTTATTTATACATATACATATATACATATATACATATACATGACTCATTGTAGGACTGCAACTCAACAGGTGAAGCCGGCTTCCGAAATCCGAGGTTCTCTGCTACAAAGGCCTACGAGAACCACGCCATCGTCAAGCTCCCAGCCAGAGAACCGGGAATGTTCACCCGATCGTGTTTTGTTTCCCCATCCAAAGCCCCAAGCGCTGTTGAAAGGCAGTCGTTGGCGGGACAAATCTAAGCTCACGGATTCGGGGTGAGCGAAGGGCCCGCTTTGGATTTTTCTTATTGCTGGTTGGCGAATCATATAAACTTGCCCAGAATGCTTGCCAACAGCCCCCCAAAGAGGGCTTAACACGCGCCCTTTTCATGTTGCTTTTCTTCACGCGGGAGAGCCATCCATTGCGGATTGATTTTCTCTGAAAATTAGCTTGGAACCAACGAACTCCTTGAAAGGAAGCCACCCGAGCACGCACATCCCAGCTGTGATTTCGGTTTTCCGCGTGGAACTCGGGTCCCGAGACCTGGAATTCAGCCAATTCAGTGTGCAAAGCACGACGCCTAAACCGGGGGAAGGCAAAAGACGTTTCCCCTGAAGGCGTCTTATAGGGATCTCTTCTTTTCGGCTGGTGGCAAGTGCCACGCGGTTTTCAAAGGTGAGCCATGTGCTCGCAATCGTTCTTGTGTTGACGCATTCTCCGAACTCGAAGCTGGAGCGAAGAACGAATTAAGCTGAATAGCTCAGCTGCAAGCGAATCGACCGGATCTGAGCTTTTGGACTTTCTGGGCTATGGAGATAGCTCCGGCCTTTCTTGCTTTGGGGTCTCAGGAAAAAAACGCAACACACATGACTCAATATGAAGCAGGATCTGAACATTTGGATTTTTGGTGTACCGTTTTGGGCTGGGTACTGGAACTCCATCAATAGAGGCAGACGCTGAATCAGCCCTTCGCCACGAGCCGATCCGTCTGGGGTACGTTCCATGATGTTTGGCAAGAGAAGGCCAACCTTTTAACCTTTTGGTTTTCGCTGTTTGGTCGACTTGTTGTCATTACACATATGGCCACAAGAGGCCCCCTCAAACGACTCGTGCAGGCCTTGTAGGTGGTTCCACCACCTGGTTTAGGTTTCTTTTTGCCGTGTTTTTTTTCTTCAGCCGTGACGATCATCGCCTCTGCGGCAACAATGGGTGTAGGGCGCTCACATTTGAGGTTCCTGGAGTCCATTGGAGCTCCCTTCGGCGCCTGCCAGAATGCCTACACCACCTTCGACCGCACAGTGCATCTGGGCAGAGGAAAAAAGGCCCAACAAAGTCTTTGGGGCAGTTTCTTTGGGGTTGCGTCTTTTTTTAGGGCAGAGGGCTAAAGGGCATCTGGCTTTAGTTGCAAACTGTGCGGTTTTGCGAGCTTGAGGCTTTTTGGATCTATTGCCCGAGTAGTATTGTAATGCGGGCCACGAGTGCCATGTGGGGTATTTGTAGCGTTTCTGTATGGTTTCGTGTCGACCCTGGAGTCAGTGGACCGTTCCCCCACAGGACGCATTCCCCTTGACATAGGACACGTCCATGTTGATCTGGTGTTTTCGGAATCGTAGGCTAAACAATTCCAGAGTACTCAACCAAAGGCCCAGGGAGCTCCCCCGGAGTGTGTAGATATGGCTGTGGGTCAAAACCAATGGTACCATTTTGGTAGGTGAATTCACCACCCATTTTAGTCTATAGTGGGGATTGGGATGTTCACTGGGGGCACGATGTGGATTTCGACCCATGGCCATACGGGTCGAGAAATGTGCGCTCGAGCCGAATGAGCCGGCAAGGTACACCTTGCACGTGCCCACGGACAAGGATGGCCTAGTGGAGGAATCCCTGTGCTTCGGCTGAAGGCGACCACTCGCACCGCTCAAGGAGTCGGACGGCTTGTTGTTCAGGGCTTTGGGCTTTGGACATAGGAAAGATAATTGAGTAGTTGGGGGGGGGGGGGTGATGGTCCATGCTGGTCCAAGCTGATCTTAAATTTGGGGGCTCAATATGAAACATAACCTAAACGCCCCATGTTTGGTGTACCCTTCTTCGCCAAGAAAAGGTAATCGATTCTTTAAAGTGTGTCCGCACCCTGTGCAACAGCGAGCTGGGCCGGAGTCAAAGAGCAGCATGTCCATCACGCTGGGGAAATCGCAACTTTTGCTGGCACTTGGCGATTAGGAAGCCCTGGAAATAGATGTGGACAAATAGATGGCCCTGGAAAATGGAATCAAACCCATCTAAACCAGTGCCATCTATTTCTCACCAACCTAAGGACACCTATGATCTCATTAGGAGAGGCGTCAGAAAATGAGTCACTGGTGGACTGGTCCCAGTTTGGGTGGGCCTCGAACAGAGCCCACCCAGCCCATAAGAAACAAACAGCAAGCCTTTTAAGTGCAGTTGGACAATTCAAAAGGGAATCCACTACACACTCTCAACAAAGAAGCTGGAGTCCAATGCATTCTTGGACCGTTTGAGAAAGCAAACCCATGTTTGCCTCTCAGGCATTTGGTGACCGAGTCTTCAAACAAAACTTATTGTGTCATTGCTCAACCGCACCTGTCGTAGGGTGTTTGCTAGCTGAATTCCCAGTTGAAAGCTTTGGGGTATGGTGATTCTGAGGCCAGCAGCTTTCGGATGCCCGAAGTTGCTGTTGACATCTCTTGCGTGAACTTCCGCCATGCCTCATGGGGTCTGAAAGAAGAATTTGGACATGTGCAGAGACAGAAATGACCACCCCCACCCCCCATCTCCCCTAGCTTCCATGATGACCCTGCCTTGAGTTCTCATGTTTCAGCTTCAGCTCGTAAGCGGAAGTCTGGGAGCTGCCTGGGCGACCAGGTCCTTTTTTCTCGCGAAAGGGACCCATGAAGGTCCGCAGAAAAGTGAATTGTCCGGGCCTGGTATGAATTTTAGTTGGGGACCCTTTCATAAACATAATTTAGGTGGTGATGTCTGTCCACCAACCACTTTTCAGGGGGTTTCCTATTGAATTTCATGGCCATATACAATAGTATATGTGAGTTGCAACTGCAAGCACAGGCCTCACATGACAGTTGTAGCTTAGAACCCCTCAAACTGATCAACTGTTGATCCGAAAATCGTGGCCAAAGCGGTTTACTACTGCCCCGGGCAGGCCATTTCCAAGTTTGGGCTGCCACTCAAAACGTGGTGCCCATTGGGTTTACCCTTTCAACAATCATGGAAGCGGGCACGGGGCTTCCCCCAAAGAAAGTTGAGTCTTCCAGAGCCCTCGAATGAGGGGGTGCATTTCTTTGTTTCCCTCCAACTCCTCAAGGTTAATAGGGCAATCCCTCCGGCGGTCCGAACTGAGCTCAGGAAAGTCTTGAGGGAGTTCGCCTACTTCACCCGCATCTCCCAGGAGGATTTGGACAAAGAGCGCAAGGTGGTGCTGGAGGAAGTCGCTCCGGATCGGATCGGAAACTGGTTCGGATCGGCGGACCGGACCCGATGCACCGGGCGGAACCGGCGCTTACGAAACGAAACAAGCGGAGCCGGCAAGCTATGTGGAGCCAGACGAACCAGGGCAAACCCGACAGAAGCCTTGTGCTGACAGCAGCTTTCTGCGCCCCTTTTTTCGTGCCACGGGGTCGACGGTCGCGAAATCGTGTCGGGGTCTTGCTTCTAGGACGCGAAAAGGGGATGGACATAGTTTTCCTTGCGTTCCATGTTGGACAGGAGACTATTGGTTGATTTTCTCCGATTCATTTGAATCCATGTGCCTGTTGAAAACTGATTTGAGCACCTGTTTCGGTACCACAGGACTCCAGGACGCCCGTAAGTGATAAATGTAGTCATGGAAATGGATACTCCTGGTCGACTACTGGGGAGGGGGCTCGTTGTTTCTTCCCTTCCCCGTAAGAAGAGCTGAGGTGGCCCCTTAAGAACGTAGCTTCCTCTTTTTTCAAAAGGGCGTGTCTCTTTTTGAGGCCCTTTTTACGATTAGGGAGCAAGGATACCGCAACCGTATGGCTTACTGCTGGATGCTCAGAATCCAGCACCAGTATGGATGAAAATTGGAGCAGGATGTCGTGTCCAACTCTTCTTTTTTTTTTTCCTTCCGGGGACCCTGGAAAAAACTTTGTTTTTTTTTGGCTTTCCTCTAACTACAACCACCAAAACGGGGGAGGCCGGGGCTGGTACCCGTGTTCAGGAGTGGCGGGAGAGCCGAAATGCCCAAGGCCGCCTCAGCGAGCGCTATGTGCAGGCGGGAGAGTTTCTCCAAATTTCGGGAGCTCAGAGTAGCCGTTTTTGGATCATTTGGCTGTGGGTCAAAATTAATGGTACCGTTTGGCGGTAGGTGCACCACCCATTTTAGTCTATGGGATGTTCGCTGGGAATACAGGATTTTGACCCATGGCCATTTGGGTTTCTCTCATGAAAAAAGACTTCATGTTTTAGTGCCTGCTTGCTTGATTTCCCGCAACAACCAACAGAGGATCCCCTAAAGGAAGACACACCCTGTTCTTGTTAGTTTGAACGAACCAGTTGAGCAGCGACAACCCATTGCATCTGCAACACTTGTTGCAAAGACGACCCATTGGACCCATTCCCCTCTCCCTGAGTTTCCGAAGTTTGCACTTTACTGGAAAACGATAAGCTTAGCCAACCCACTCAGGAAGTGAGTTGATCAATTTCCTCAAGGAAAAGGGAATGAACACCCTCACGCCAACAAGAAACATGTATGCATCTCTTAGAGAAATCGTCGTGCTTCTGTGCACTTTCCATGTTGGGCGGGGGGGCGGGGGGTAGTTAGTGGTTTGATCATTTCCAAGACCTTTACGCAGCTGAGGAGTTCTACTGTAGAGCTTTCTTTTGCCCACAGTTCCCTAGGTGTTTCTCAAAATTGCGGGCTAATTAGATCACCTAGTTTCCCACTAACACGTTCTGACTTGAAGGTCTTAAACCAAAGGCCATGGGTCAAAATCCAAATCGTACCCCCAGTGAACATGCCAATCCCCACTAAATATAGGTTCTAAATTGGGTGGTGAATTCACCTACCAACCAAAATGGTACCATTTATTTCGACAACCACAGCCCAATGAGTACGGCCCTTCCGCTCGAAACCAGGCTTTGTGCGGTGCCGGGTGCCGCTGGTGCGAGCGGCTTCCTATTGGGCGCCCTGGGCACTTTTTGGCCGGTTCCGATTTCTCCGATTTCTCCGAACAGTTTAGCCACAATCCTTGACTGCTCTTGGGTTGGATCTTTAGACTTTTTTCTGTTTTTGGTTGAAATCAAGTTGTGCTTTCCACTAAACCCCCAAAAAGTTGAACTTGTTGCAGGGGGGTCAACAGCAACCAAGAATCAAAACCCAAATAGATGAACGTTAGTAAGGGACAATCCCCTTGCCATAAATAGTTGCGGATATCCGCCTTCTGAATTCTTTACGTGGTCCTGGGTAGACCATTTTGATACCAGGTTTTGATTGTGACTCATTTGTTGGCAGGGTGCCCATGGTTTGATCACAGGGACAAACAGAAGCAACGTTTCCCCTGGGGAGATCAACCTGGTTTAAGCCCTTGGCAATCAATCAGAAGGGCGCCTCGGAGGGTTTATATGACGATGAAGCAGGATCTGATCACATGTTTTGTGGACAACTGGGGGCCCAGATGGTAATTTACAAAACCTTTTGGTTGCAATCTTATGGACATTGCGTTTCCCCGGTGATTCGAGGCAGTGGACACTTCAGCTATCTCCACGCGATTCCTTCCCTGGTGCCAACTAGACCTCACCACTTGCTACCTCGTCAACCATGAACATGTGGGTAAAGATCGGGTATTATGTGGCACGCGAAGTTCGGGCTTTGCAAAGTTCGGGAACTTGAAACCCCGTTTGGGACCCGAAAAGCTGGGTGCGGGGCCCTGTTGTTTTTTTGGGGGGCATTCAGGGACCATAACTGAGGTCGGTGGTTTTCGAACCAAATGTAGCTTGCCAGTGGCTAGGTCTAACCAAAAGGGCTTGTTTCCCGCAGCCATTGGAGGTCGGGGACTACCCTTCTATACCCCTCGTATCTGATACAAAGGTTGGTACACTGGCACGACAATACATGGCTGGGCCACGACGCAGCAATGGCGCAGGGTCCCTGAGACTTGAAAGGCGCACATTGAGGTTTGGCAGTTCTGCGGTTCGGAGAGTGAGTGTTCTTGGCGTGGGGTTTGCATTGTGCGCACGGGCGTTGGGCTGAAGTGTTACACTTTGTGTCTCGAATCCATGCCGTCTAGCCTGGAAACTTGAGCTGCAGCTAGTGCTGGTTGGGTTTGTTTGTGTGGAGACCAATTGCTTCCGCAAAAAATGCACACAACCAACTAAGCTTCTTCTTTCCCTGGACATGCATCTGCTTTCCCTGGAGGAGCTGGAACGTTTCGGTGTGTAATGCGCATTGCGCATAGTCAGGCTTCGAGTGCAGGCATTCGGCCTCAGTCAGTTTTGCTCACACGCTAAATGAACATTCTGCCCCTCAGACCCCTCCTCCGGATTCGAATCCGCGAATGGACTGGCGCGAGTTTTGCGGTTTTACTCTCAGGAAGGAGGAGGTCATCCGGGGCGTGTCAGCAGAGACCTTGCGGAAGTTCTACCAGAAGCCGCTGGGAATAACCAGGTTTTTGGTGGCAGGCTGTTGAATGATTTGTTTAAGTACCTTCTTCCTAACCCTACTACCACACAGAGGCGACCAAGGCAATGGACACGGGAGAATAGCAAATCACAAGACAGCCATCCGCCAAGCTAGCAACAACACAAGCAAGCAAGAAACGAGCGAACGAACGAACGAAAGAAACAATCAACCAACCAACCAACCAACCGACCAACCAACCAACCAAAGTCAATCAAACACATAAAACACAAACACAAGAACGAGCAAGCCAAACGCGATCACGCGCAACCGCAAACAAAACAAACACAGACGCAGACGAAAACACAGACCCACACAAACGCAAACAGAAACACAGACCCAAGCACAGGGACAGACACAAATGCAATTAGCATACCCCACAGCAAACACGGAAACAAACAAGTAGACAGGCAGACAAATAGACACCGACACAGAGACACAAACAGACAGAGACACAGACACACCGACACACAGACACAATATCACTGATACGCGCGCGCAAACACACACAGACACAGACAGACACACACACACAGACACACAGACACACATAAACACAGACACACAGACACACAGACACACGGACACACGGACACACATGCGCATATGCACATATACACATATACACATATACACATATACACATATGCATATATACACTCATACACACATATACACATACACATGCACATACACGTACACATACACATACACATACACACACACACACAAACACCCCAAATGAGGTGAGTGAATCATTTACATTGGACGCCCTGTCAAGAGGTTGATGTCCAGCCACTGGAGCAAATGTTTAAAGAACATCTAGTGAGTCTCCGATGTCCCTCCCAATTCCACGGACATTGAACAAGTTCCCTTCAATTCAGTCTGCCATGTCCCTCCCAGACTGACATGGACCACTGGACAGTGCCATTTTATGTTACCCGGTACCCAACGATAGGCTTACACCCAGGGATGGTAGATTTCCCCATATTGAGCAGGGAACGCTGGCCTCCTCCATTAAATTGGCGTGCACTTTAAAGCCGCATCCTCCGATCCCCATGAAAACCACCCAAGGCAAGTCCAGGCTTTCAAGAGAACATCATGAACAAACTTCTAGTAAGCTGCTCGTACTATACTTTTTAATAAAACAGGTCGTAGAGCCGCGTCCCACAATGGCCAACAGGATTTTGGGGGCCAAAGTGGGCTATCCTATGACGACGTTGTCTCTGAAATAATTCCTTTTGCATCACACAAAGCAGCCGACACACCCAATACAACCATACATGAAGCCGGACTTCTACAACTGTTCAAGCCTTTCTCTAAATCACCGCCAAGGACTACTTGTGGAAATACAGAAGTGGAAGCGACCAAGGCGGCATAACCGTAGTCCATTGCTTATTTGGGAGGGACATCAGCCTTCTACTATTCCTTCAAAATTGCCAGGGTACACAACAATTGTCATGTCATTTTGGCTTAACAAGTAATTTTGACCATGGCACCTATGTTTAGTGAGGTTTTACCATCCGGCCCGAATGGCCATCATTGCCGTGGGCGACTTCGACCAAGAGCAGATCGAGCAGAAAATCAAGGCGACTGGACGAGTCTCTGGACGTGATACTTTTTGAGAAGTCGATGTCAGTTGCAAACAACGTTGTTTTTTTACTTCTTCCGGCCAAGCCACTGCAACTTGTCCCAACTTTCACAAAGCAAAACAGCCCGTGAGAAAGCGCCCGAGAAGGGAAGTGCCGTTTGATTAGTTGGGGGTTGCCCTTGAGGGTGCCGCTTGGATTGGCTGCCTTTCACAATGGTGATTTAATGGTGCCAGTCAAATCCAACGCTCATGTTCGGTTCCTTGCTTCCATCGTGCCCGTCGCCAGGCCGCGAGGGAGTACAGCACTTAGGAAAATCCCCCAGCCGTTCCATGCCCCCCATATGGAAAGGAAAGCGGGTGTTGGGGAAATGATGTGTGGAGCTGCGCTTTTTTCCAGCTAGGGGTGAGGATGTTTTTTTTTTTGCCAGCCCTTGACCGTAGTTGAGCCTGCTTTTGCTTCCCAGCCGGCGTCAACCCCAGTGAAGCCATGCGAGGCGTTTGACAGTTTGACACAGCTGGGAGGGAGAATCAACCTTTGAAGCTTGTTTGAAAGTCTAGTCGTTTTGCAACTGGCCTCATATACATTTAGATTTGCATGCATGTTCGTCAACTGGCTACATATGAAAAAGCAATACACTGCAACCTTGCTTGCGGCGTGCTGGCCGGCTTGCTGGCTTGCTGGCTTGCTGGCTTGCTGGCTTGCTGGCTTGCTGGCTGGCCTCCTTGCTGGCTTGCTTGCTGGCTTGCTTGCTTGCTTGCTTGCTCTTGTTGCTTGTTAGGTTGAGTGACTATGGTAATTTGTGCGCATTGTTCTTGGCTGATATTTGGTTGATATGCTAAGCTTTAAGTCGCTGGGACAAAATCATGTGTATATATATATATATGTAGCTATTTCTTTACTCTTGGTTTTCGTTGAACACCCTCAATGGGGGCCTTTTAAAAGGGCTTTCTATGTCCAATGTAGAAAGCATGACCCCAAAGACATTCCACATAAATTGCGTATCCTAAAGGCCCAACGGTGGACACAAGTTGGTATTTATCAGGAAGCAACAATCATTTCAGGGGAAACCAAAATAAAGACACCCATTTTACGGGACCTTTTTGAGAAACTTGCCCCACAACCAAAGGAAAACAACATCCATCTTGCGGGTTCCAACGAATTTGGAGACATTTGGGTGTGGGTCAAAATGAAAGCACCAGGGGACCGCAGATTGGAGTCCTTGGTTTTTCTTTGCCAGGCTTCTATTTTGGGTACCCATTTTTCTTGGGCGCCAGGAGCTCTTTGACCTCCCCCCTGCTACGATCGATCCCTTGCCCCGGTGCTCCGTGGAGGAGGCGCCCAAGCGCCCCAGGCGGGCCGAAAAACGCGCGGTCAGATCGATCGCTTCCTTGGCGCAAAGCGCACTGGGAGGTTCGGACTTCAAAGTTTTTGAAAACGAATGTTTTGTTTTTTGTTTTGTTTGTTTTTTCCCCCCCGTATTTAGGCCACTAAAAGTTAAAAACGTTTGGCGGGGGAGCAAACAAGCAACCGAGACTTTAGCCACGGCACATGGGGTTGCAATCCTGTGAAAATTGTTGGTCTTGTCAACTGGGGTTCTAAATCTCTCAAGTGGGCTTCCCTACGCAATGAAAACACTGGGCACCCTGCGATGAAATTGCTCAGGAAATCAAGTCCATCCGCCTAACCCCGTTCCACCCGATCGTTGGGATAAGGCAAACCAGGGCAACTTCAACTTTCAATTCGGGCGCAGAAGGGCACGCCGTTCACTCGCTTCGCGCAGAGGCAAACGCGGAATCTCCTCCCAATCATGTTGCACATTTGGCGGCGGCTACATTAGACCAAGATACGATTCATCCGAAGATCTTATTTGCGTGCCCTTGCTTAAAAGGCCGAGGTCTCATCTTCCTGTTCAGATCTGGCCATGGGTCAAAATCCAAATCGTACCCCCAGTGAACATCCGAATCCCCACTAAAATTGGAAAAATGTGTGGTGCAGCGACCCCAAACTGGCACCACTGGTTTTGACCCGCGGCCAGCTGCGAAGACTCCGGCGCGAGGTACGCGGTGCCGGACTCGGAGGGGGTGCGGGTGGCCTCCAGCACGGACCCCGAGCTGAGCTTCGCGCAGTCGATGGTGGACTGCAAGCGGCCCAGCTCCTCGGTGACGGGAGCCAGCTGCGCTCGGGTGAAGCTGTTCGGGTTTGGGCCATTTTGGCGAGCAAAATCACGAGGCTTGGATTGTTTTTTTGGTCAGTCTATGGAAGTTGCGGGTATCACCCAGGGCCACTGGAACGGTGGCAAAAAAGAGAAAAAAAAAGCACGGCTTGGGCTTCTTTGGTCAATCTATGTTGGAAAGATGAGGGTATCACCCCAGAGTCACTTGAAAGGTGGTAGAAAACGCAAAGCTTGGACTGTTTGGGTTATGGAAGTTCAGGGTATCACCCCAGAGCGACTTGAAACAGGCCTTGCCACAAGGTGATGTTTCGACCTCGGGAAAGAAACGCACGGCCTTTTTTTGAGGCCGGCACCCCTGGGGGCTGGGAAGCCAACCGGAACACCGAAGACAAATACTCGATTCCTGGCGCGCGGTATTCTGAGCCGAGAACCCGGAAGTGAGAAGCCCTTTCCGGGGATTGCGGATGTTCCAACTGCACCAGGGATGCATGAACGCCACTGAAAATTGGGATTTGCACAACCACCAGCTAAACTGGTGCAGGATTTTGTTCATCCACAGGATCCAAACAACCATGGTTGAAAAGAGGAGAACCGGGCCGCCTTCTGTACCAGCCTCCTAGGAGAACCTTTCGAAGGGGAGTTGTAGGTTCAAGCCAGCATTTGGTTGAATAGTACTCCCCAACCCTGTCCTGGTTTGGGGTTGTCTCGAAATGAGGGTACCCTCAAAATCTCCCAAAATGCTAGGTTTCTTTAGGCCTCCCTTTCAAACCAACGAAGGGTGTTCCACAAAAAGGCCACACCCAGTCGGCGCCAACTCGATAGCTCAGGGTTGCCAGTGCAGAAGGGCCGTGACGTGCGGCGCCGGGTCACCGAGGATCGATCCGTTCGGGCCTTGAGTGCTTCGCCTGGTTTTTTCGACGGACCTTTTGGAAAGAAAATGGGTATAGATCAAAAATACACCAGGGGGACCGCAAGGTTTTAATCTTTGGTCCCGTTTACCAGGGTTCCCTCTTGGGTACCTATTTTTGACCCAGCCAAGTGGGTGGGGGCTCAAAAGTTGGGGTCCAAAATGAACCCTGCGGAAAAGTAGACTCAAACCGGCGGTTCCCTGGCTCTCAAAAAGCAGGGGCACACCCACATAGCTTTTCCGTCCATACAAAAGATGACCGACCTTTTGCTAGGAAGAGCAACCCAGTGAATCCTTCTTATCTTTCTCCCTGAGTTCATGGACTTTCATTCACTTGTTTTCGCAATCTTCAGGCGTGAGTGATGCGATATTGATAGGTGTTTCCCTTTTAGTAGCGGTGTCCCTATGGATTAGTCATTTTTCCCGTGAAGGAGCCAGCTTGTTCAGCGGCACCCGATTTTTGTTTGGGTTCGGACGTGGTCTAGCGGTTGAAGGGGTTATTCGTTTCCTACCGGCTACCAGGCGTCCTGGGCCCGTCCCAGGACAACAGGAGAATTGTCGCGTAGCTTCCCAAGGCATCAGGTCGATGTCCCGAAGGTTCCCAGGGGAAAGCTCACGCATCCGATCTTGATGGACTCATGAGACTTCCTTTCACCCAGTGGTTGCTCTGAGGTCAGTGAGACAAATCAGGGTCTGATTCTCCAGGTGAGTGATTTTGGGGTGGACCCCCAGACCCTCTGAAAGATTGCCAGAGCAGAGGGTTTCCTGGTGTTTGCGCTCCCAAAAAAAGGGTGCCCATTCTACATCCGGACCTCGCTGACATGTTGGCTTTACTGGGGGGGGGGGGCGTCCAGGACTTGTTCCACCGCGCCCTGGGGAGCCGCCTGCTCCGGCTGACCCTACAGGGGCCCTTGGGAGGCGCGGCCCTGCCATGGCCAGAGGGCGGCGGGGATTCCCACAGATGAACCCACCCTGAACCTCCCCGAAACCGACCCCAAGCCGACCCCAATTGTACCCCAACCCCAAGCCTGCCCTGAACCCACCCTAAAACGGATATCCTAAGCCCAGCTTTTGTCGGGCCTATCAAACCATGGGTGGCTTCGTGTCGGTTTCCCTTCACACCACAATCCAAGCGCCAGGCGGCCCTCGGGACTTCTTCTCCGCAGGCACGGAGTCCTCAGACCCGCTGCCGGCCTTGCCACTCGGACGAAGCCTTTGGCACGGCGCCTTCGGAGATTTGGGGCGGCAAAGAGGAAGAGGGGTAATGTTTAAAGGAAACCAAAGGAACGCCGCCAGAGGTGTCATTTGGTTTGGTTCGGAGGCGATTGGGTGGGTCGCCGGCAACCTCTTTAACCAAGGCACTCCCTGAGTTTTCAACTGGACTTTATTTTGAATTTTTGGGAAGACCAAGTAAGCTTGGAGTGTGCGTTTGTCGCACACATGTTTTTTGTGTTGTTTGCCAACCCACTCGGTTTTGTTGTTCAGGAAGTGAGTTGCATTTTGTCGTCGGTGGGTTTTGTTGGTTGTTCAAGGGCAAAGCAAAATAAAGTCAGTTCGGCTCGGCACTTCCCACTTCCTGTTTGGTCTGTCTTAAAACAGCACAAGGACAAGGCAGCAAGTTTGCTGCTTGTTGTCTACTGTCGGTGCAGGCCAAAATGTTCATTTGCGACTTGGGTGAAATGCGATCAACGGGTCCAGTCCGAGGACATGAGTGACTTGTTCAGTTTCGCATAGATGGGGCCAGGGGGATCTCCGTGTTTTGGCCATGGCTTAGGTCTTTGCGCAGAGATGTTCAGTTGCGGTTGGCACCTCTCAACCCGCTCCAGATGTAAGCATCACATTGGACAAATGGTTGGGTCCCGAAGGAAAACAAGGGGAACACAGTGGAGATACCAGTACCCACCCGCCAATCACTGATGTCCAAAATCCCACTGTCCAAAAAGCAGTGGTTGGGGGGGTGGTGTGGTCTTGTTTGTGGCTCTGTTCAAAAGCGTGTTGGGATAAAAGGGCACACTGTGGACGTGAAGCCACTATGGCATTGGGGCGACCGTTGTCCAAGGCAACCAAAGAGCTCGGCAACAGCTTTTGCTTGCTCCCCTTAAAGTCGGTTTCCTCTTGCACCCAAATTCGGCAGCTTTGGACCATCCCACAAAGCCGCCATGTGTCGAGGAATAGCCCAGCCAAGTTTGGGGTAAATCCAACAGTTTCGCCGTTGAAATTGGTTGACAATGACGCAGTTTCGGCAGGTCACCTGTTTTGGCTATGTGTAAGAGCACAGCCTTTTGCCAGGGCGATGTCAAAGAGAACATCGAGTTACAACTCAGTGCAAAAGGGGGACCCAAAAACAAAGCAATAATAAAGTTATCCAAAGCTGCGATATTCGTGCAAGACTTGCATTCGCATAAGGAAAGTCGACATTTGCCTCATAATTTACCCTGATTTCTGGTGTCTCGTGTTCAATCATTGCTTCATGGGAAAATTGTGTTGCTTACGTATCCTGGAATCCTAGCTTTTGTTTTCTATGTATTTGCTGATTTCGCTGAATATGACCAAATTAGCTTCAAAATCCGAACTGTTTAAAATTACGATCATCACAATAGTTGCGATATTTCGGCCCATTAGCACGATTAGCTGTTTCGAGTGCCTAGGTTCGCCCAATTGTACCCTCAACAAGGCCTTATCAGAAATGTGATGTGCTGGCCAGCCCATAATGTTTAAAATTTCACAGAAGGAAGCCAACGTGGGATGTTGTCCAGACACCACTCAATTTACCGACTTGCGAATTACCATGCCCAAAAAGGGAATCGTTTTGATTTGTCAATGTTGATCTACAGAGTACTTTACTGGAATGGAATTCAAGCCCCTACTGCTCCAACGACCCTGGCGAAGGGTATTTGCGTGTGAAAGGCTTTGGAGCGTTTGGTGCGAAGATTGCCATTAGAAGGACCCCTGCCCAATGCCCTTGTGGAAAATTGTGCTTTGCGGCCACTTTCAGTGAGCTATTGGAGTCCCCTAAAAAAGACAGCAGGGATGGGAATCCCACTTTGGCGTCCTCGCTTGAGTGGACGCTTCAGTTTGCGGAAGACAACTTGAGCGGCAAGCATGTTTGGACATGTTATGGCCAAGCTCAGGAAGCGAGTCGCAGAAATGGCCATGGTTCAAAACCGATGGTACCATTTTGCGATAGGTGCACCACCCATTTTAGAACCTATTTTAGTGGGGATTGGGATCTTTGTTCACTGGGGGTACGACTTGGATTTTCACCCATGGCCACATGGGTGTGTCAAAACCAGGGCAGGGTTGTGGGATCAAGGGGTTTCTCCCCACTTCTGTGATTTTTTCTTGGGACTCCCCCTTATGAAGAAAAAAAACCGTCTGTGGGAAGCCCTTTCTGTATCACAGAAGTGGTCCTTCCATTCCCCACAGCCCTGAGCCACGGGGCGGGGCCAACGGGCGGAAGAGCCTCGCGCTTGGCTCCAGGTGCCCCTTGAGCGCCCACCTGTCGCCCCTGCCGGGCCGGGTCCGCCCGGCGCTTCAGGCCATGCTCAGGCGTATCCGGTTCGCGGGCGGACGGTTTTCGGGCGGATTTTCCAATCGCGGAGTCAAAGGAGCGACGCGCACTTAAAGGTCACTTGGCCTGGACTGTAAAAACTGTTTGGGGGTTTGGGCCAGTTTAGTGGCAAACGATCGGTTCGGGGACTGGTTTTCGCCAATCCCTTCAGGAAGTCAGAAACCTATACTTTTCCTGGATGGTTGAACCATTACCATTTTGGCGCCAATGTACAGGGGGCCCCTGTCCCTGTTCGTTGGTTCGTTTCCAACACGTAGCCGGCCAGCTTTGGGGTTTCCAGTTCGCTACGAACCCATCTTGCGCCTTGTGGTTTGAACATCACCTTTTGGGCCAGCACTGTTGTGTTTTGGGTGACGTCTCCGAAAAGGAGAAACGCATGATCGCTTTGGACCTCTGCTTTTTGTGTTGTGTGTGTGTGTCAAATTAAGGGACCTCAAAAATGGCGGAGTTCATTTGTCGTTTTCGCTTGAAACCAAGGGGAACAGCGTACTCTCAAAGAAGCGCAAGCCCATGTTTGGGCTGAGCCTAGTCTCAAGCCGACACTTTGGGCAAGTGTTCAACCCAGGAACTTAGGAACTGGCCGGACACAATTCTACCATGACCTGAGAAGAGGCCCTGAGGCCTCTGTTTCTGTAAGTTTCCGGTTGAAGCTTAGTTGAGGGGAGGTTTGGTTGAAGGTTTTGTTGAAGGGAGGTTTAGTTCACCGGAAGGTCATTCTGGGGGTTGGGAAGTGCAGTGGGCAGGACGGGAAGAACTTGGGCTTCTGACTTTGCCGGTTTTCAGGGCAGTGGAACGTGGGATCTTGGCAAGGAAACCACGTGGCTGTGGGTCAAAAGCCTTACCCCTCAGATTCCCTTTAAAATTGACCAAAATAAAAGGGGTTACCAATGGTTACCACAAAAAAATAAAATCTGCGTTTTGACTCGTATTAAAATAAATTCAGTTTGGGTTTCAGACTCACGACCAAGCATCTGGCTCAGTTCCTTCAGTTCGTGTCCCTGATTGGGACAGGTAGTGTCCAACTTTGGTTTCCTTTTACCACTGACCCCCCACAGAAAACTCACATTGGCCAAAGGTGGCGTTCAAAAACCCACCGAGGGCGAAATTGGGTGTGCCGTTTTTTAAGGGGACTCCCAAAAAAAGTTGGCCTGGTGCATGCTGTTTGCCTTCAAAGACCCGCAACCACCGGGGCACCCTCCAAACGACGCGCCCAAAAATTCCCGCGGACTCTGAGCAACCCGAATCCCAAGCCCCAGGGAGCTGGAGCGCGTGCGGCGGTTTGGGTTCCACGAGGCAGAGGTGCTGAGGCAGGCCGCGTTTTGTTCTTCTTTTTTTTCCCAAAAGCATCTCTGATGCTTGAGTTCTGCTTTAGGTTTTCTCTTAAGGTGCCTGGGAGCGATACAAGCTGTGACGACGGAGATAAGAAGGGATTTCCATTTCGTTGTGCTGCAGACCGGGCGTGCGATGCTGGCTGGGGGTGCAGACCGGGCGTACGAGGCTGGCTGGGGGGAAGGCGGTGTGGTGCAGACTGGGTGCGCGAGACTGGCGCGGTGGACGCTCGTGACAAGTGGAAACCGCCCCCAAGCGAGACGGGCGCGGGGACGCTCGTGACAGGCCGACACCGCCCCCGAGCGAGACGGGCGCGGGGGACGCTCGTGACAGGCCGAAACCGCCCCCGAGCAAGACGGGCACGGGGGACGCTCGTGACAGGCCGAAACCGCCCCCCAGCGAGACTGGCGCGGTGGACGCTCGTGGGGGACGCTCGTGAGAGGCCGAAACCGCCCCCGAGCGAGACGGGCGCGGGGGACGCTCGTGACAGGCCGAAGCCGCCCCCGAGCAAGACGGGCGCGGGGACGCTCGTGACAGGCCGAAACCGCCCCCGAGCGAGACGGGCGCGGGGGACGCTCGTGACAGGCCGACACCGCCCCCGAGCGAGACGGGCGCGGGGGACGCTCGTCGTGTGACGCCGAAGCCGCCCCCAAGGCCGAGCAAGACGGGCGCTCGTGGGGGACGCTCGTGACAGGCCGAAACCGCCCCCGAGCGAGACGGGCGCGGGGACGCTCGTGACAGGCCGACACCGCCCCCGAGCGAGACGGGCGCGGGGGACGCTCGTGACAGGCCGAAGCCGCCCCCGAGCAAGACGGGCGCGGGGACGCTCGTGACAGGCCGAAACCGCCCCCGAGCGAGACGGGCGCGGGGACGCTCGTGACAGGCCGACACCGCCCCCGAGCGAGACGGGCGCGGGGGACGCTCGTGAGAGGCCGAAGCCGCCCCCGAGCAAGACGGGCGCGGGGGACGCTCGTGACAGGCCGAAGCCACCCCCGAGCAAGACGGGCGCGGGGACGCTCGTGACAGGCTGAAACCGCCCCCGAGCGAGACGGGCACAGGGGACGCTCGTGACAGGACGACACCGCCCACGAGCGATCGAGACGGGCGCGGGGGACGCTCGTGACAGGCCGAAACCGCCCCCGAGCAAGACGGGCGCGGGGGACGCTCGTTACAGGCCGAAACCGCCCCCCAGCGAGACTGGCGCCTTCGACGCTCGTTTCGGACGCTCGTGAGAGGCCGAAACCGCCCCCGAGCGAGACCGGCGCGGGGGACGCTCGTGACGGGCGCGGGGAACGCTCGTGACAGGCCGAAACCGCCCCCGAGCGAGACTGGCGCGGTGGACGCTCGTGACATGCGGAAACCGCCCGCGAGCGAGACTGGCGCGGGGACGCTTGTGAGAGGCCGAAACCGCCCCCGAGCGAGACGGGCCCGGTGGACGCTCGTGACAGGCCGAAACCGCCCTCGAGCGAGACTGGCACGGTGGACGCTCGTGACATGCGGATACCGCCCGCGAGCGAGACTGGCGCGCGAGTGGCGCGGGGGACGCTCGTGACAGAAACCGCCCGCGAGCGAGACGGGCGCGGGGGACGCTCGTGACAGGCCCCCGAGCGAGACGGGCGCGGGGGACGCTCGTGACAGGCCGAAACTGCCCCCGAGCGAGACTGGCGCGGGGGACGCTCGTGACAGGCCGAAACCGCCCCCGAGCGAGACTGGCGCGGTGGACGCTCGTGACAAGCGGAAACCGCCCGCGAGCGAGACTGGCGCGGGGGACGCTCGTGAGAGGCCGAAACCGCCCCCGAGCGAGACGGGCG